TCCAGCGAATTCGCCTGGAAGAAAATGGACGCCGGATCCGCGTAAACGCGGTTTTCAACAACGGCCACCAGTTCAACTGGTTTCACGAATATGGGACACGAGGGAACGGCCGGTTCCGCGGTTCACGGTACGCAGATACGCGGCCCGTGTGTCTGTCGCAGGGAACGGACGTGTTCGTTTTTTAAACGCGCCGATTAGAAAACCAGTACGCCGGTTCCGCGGAGAAATGGCCGCTGGGACGGCAGGCCGCTAATCTGGACGAGTTGTCCGCCGGTAGATGGAAAATTCTGATAGGGCCGTGTTGCGCGCGACCGCCTCTGCTCAGCGCGGAGAGACCTTAGCGCCGCGAGACAATGTTCAGATTGATATCAGCGCCGAGGAGATTCGTATCGCTCGATTCGTGAGGTGTCCTGCGACCGCTGTCGCGGAGGGTATTAAATTCCTCGTGGGCACGCCGTGGAATTGTGCGCACTCGTGGCTGACAAAAATCTTCGCGGAGTTATGAGACTTCGGTAGCATTCCGAATTTTTGATCCTTTGGGACTGGGGCTGTGTAGTAATCAACCCTTTGAACTCTGTAGGCTCCGATGTTGCACCATTTGTACTATTAAATATTTTAATGAATAAATTTAGAACTATCCTAAGATTACTGGATTTTCTATACGTCCAATTTTGTATTAAGAAGGAAAATAAAGAAACCTAAGAGATGTTAAAGTCTTGAAGAAACTACCCTACGATTATTAGATTTTACACATCCGAATTTTGCAGTAAGGAAAATAAAAGATCTAAGGAAGGCTATAGCATTTTTCAGTTTCGCTATGGATACTATAAAAAGTAGCTTTTAGTTAAATCAATTCCTTGGGACTATGGGAGATAGAATCTAATTGTGGTAGATTACGATTGGATTTAATTCTGAGTTCCTTGGAACTATAGAACTGGAGTTCTACTCGATATCTAGCTCTAGCAGCTTTTAATTAGATTCGGTTCTCAGTTCCCTGGAATTATGGACGCAGATATGATTAACTCTAGCTTCTGATTAGATGTAATCCTCAATTCCTTGGAACTATAGAGGAAACTGGAGCTCTAGTTAATGTCTAGCTCTAGCAGCTCTTAATTAGATTCGATTTTCAGTTTCTTGGAGTTATGGAAGCAACGGATATGATTTCTAACTCTAGCTAGTGATTAGATGTAATTCTCAATTCCTTGGAACTATAGAGGTAACTGGAGCTCTAGTTAACATCTAGTTCTAGTAGCTTTCAGCTCTATCTACCATGCACTAAAAAGAATTCAATTTCTAATCCTATCTATTTACAATTACGATGACGAAACTATTAAACCGCCAGACTTCCTTTAAATTCCCAAAATCCAAAACCCCAAATTGCCACCAAAGAGAATCTCAAAGACCCACCGACCGTTGCCAAAGAAGTCCGCAACGACGCGTAACAAGCGTCCCCGACCGTCAAACTGAACTCAGTCACCTTTCAGTGTCAAGCAGGTCCCCGGGCCAAGATCTTCCCGCGATCGAGGCAAAAAACACCTGTCGATTTAGCGTCAGGAGGTCAGGAGTCCGGGAACGGCGCAGCTGTCAGTCAGCTGCCAGCTGATTCCCGGCGTCCGTCGTCTAAACATCAGCCGCGAGAGGAGAGTCCTCGAGCTAAGTTCTGCATCCCCGATGCTATTGTAGCCTCAGATTAACGGTACACCGACGGACGACACAGTGACGCGACGCGGTGCTCCGCAGGTGGCCAGGGAAGAGCAACAGCCTCTCCCGAAAGAAAAGCAGGAAGACGAGAGACCGGGCGCCACTTCCCGCCTTATTCCTCCCCGCGTCGCGTCGCGTCGCGTCGCGTCGCGCAGGAAGAAAGCTCCGACCCGCTCGATTTTTTCCTTCCTTTTCTGTTATTTCTTCTTCTTTTTTTTTCTATCCCGCAGAACTCGGACTGAAAGCGGCGAGTACAGGCTGAAAAGAACAAGCGTGCTCCTTTCTTCTCTTCCTTTTCTTCTTTTGCTTCTTCCCCGTCGGTCGGTGTTTTATTTGGTTCCCGGGGAGCTGGAGAGCACTGCAACCGAGGGAAACTTCTCCGGTTCCCGGCGGAGAATCGTGGGACCGGGATAAAGGGAACTCGAGGCGAGTGTGACTC